TGCGGTATGTGTTGTCACCAAAGTAAACCAAGAACGATATGACGTTCTGCGGCAATGTCCAGCGGTAATATTCTGAAAACGCCGAGGAATTATCCAACATCTGATAGCGGAAATCCAAGTCGCTGCAGGTTGTCTGGTTCAGTGAAGGACGTTACATATTGTAAAGATCTCTTCAAGAAGGCGAATGAATTGCACACCGCGGCCGAGGCTTTGTATGGAAGATCTTTGACTCATCTTTACCTCAGAATGAAGTGCAGGTCTTGTGAACGGCGATTAAATAACTTTAGAGAATTCACGGCCTTTTAATTGATCACTGAAAGCCAAAGTCACTTCGAAAGGAGCGAAAGGGTGAAAAGATTTAGTGAAGTTTCACTGCGCCGTCTGCGCCCCGGCCCGAACTTTGCAGAGCGCGAAGGATAATACAACGAACTCGTCGCGGTATGCATTTCGCCGTTGTTGCTGACAAACCGGATTTATCTTCGACGGAAAGGGGGCTAGAAAAAGAAAAATATAATTTTTATTGTGTCGTTAATAAATTAGTGTACGTGACTCCAACGGTTCGTGACAATTGTGCACATTCTCATTTAATTTTCGATCATTCGGCCTTTCTTTACTTCACGCGTGTTTCTGAGGGGTACTTTTTATGCCGTGTTATTAGGAGAATTAGAAGAAATTATAAGTGGAGCGGAGTCGTTCGATTGTGTTACAGCATATTTTTAGAGGTCGTAGGTCTGCATGATTTCCGCTGGTAACTGCACGTCGCTTCTCAGAGTTTGACACCTTTGTAATTAACTATGCCGTGCTTATACTTTGTTTAGGTTAGTTTCTATTGCAAGATATGTTTTAAGGCTCTAAGTATTGGCTCTCCAGGAACAAAGATTAAAATATTCCGTGAACATATTGCTTACTTGCATTCTATATTGTAACACCGCAGTTGACGCCGGGCCCGGCTATTTGATTAGAACTGTTTTCAAGCACAGTGCGTTGCACGAATATCATATTTATCTTCGTCCAGCTTTTCTTCAGACTGCCGTAGCTTTACTTTGAGAAAGCTATATGTTTTCCTAGAGACATTCCTATTTTTTTACATCAATTTGATCGAGTGCATTCAAAGGAGAAGCAACAATTACTACAGGATGAAATTGCGCTGCTCGACGTCCACCGTTGAAATATGGCTGACTTTCCATAAATCCAGTGGGTAAGACAGCAACACTGAAAATCACGACCACTAAATTGCCGCGAGACAGTCTTGCTTAACCTTTAGGTAAACGCTGGAATAGATATTATTCGAAATTTGAGCCTGAAAGCTAAGTATCGATAAACACCGCGGGTAATGGCAGTCGCAGCGCGATACTTTGAATTCGACAAAGCTCAACGCGACAAATTGCTGATTACAGAGGACCCCTCCCTGATGTTCTCAATTGTCAAAGTTGCACGTGACCACACTCAACCAGGGTCTCTCCTCGCTCGCTCCAGGGGGCGGTAAGATGAGAGACCCTGGGGACGAGGTTGGAGGTTCCCAATGTAGTGATTTGACTGGGAAACTTTTTTTATTTTGGAAAGCTGGTCGCTGAGGAGAGGTGGTCGCTCACGAGAGGTGGTCGCAACCGGAGGTTGCACGGAGGTTGCACCGAGAGCCGCACGTAAACTACTTGTCGATTGGTACCATTCGTACCATTGGTACCAATGGAAAAGTAGACAGCCGATCGGTATGCCATGTGTAAACTGTATAAAGCGTGCGAGCCCAAAAGCGCCAAATAAATACAATATGTTTATTCTTCGTTCTTAAAGCGTGCGAGCCCAAACACACGCTAAATACAAGTAAATACAATGTATAATCTTCGAACTTAAAGCGGGCCCTAACACACGTTTGTGTTTTGTATGCCCTGTGTCGGGGAATCCGTTTGTGTGTATTGGACAACCCTCCCTCTTTTGGCAGTCCGTCGAGTATGACTTTATTTTTCCCGCCCTAGCGCACGCCCCCGACCTTGTAGGCAGGGCTGAACGCTCTTCGTGACGCGTGAGTCTGGTTAAAATAAGCTTATCTAAAACATGCATGATAATGTGCCAAAAATCAGTGCTTGTGTAAGCGACCCAGTTTCCTCACCTTTTATCATTCCCGACCGTTAAGTTTCAATAATAATAGCAAGAAGATAAAGTGGACTGTTTTGGCACTGTGTTTCGGAAAGTCGCAACCCTGGAAACGAAATCAAAATAATGACTTCTTACATGTTTGGCACGTTCAAATTTCAAAAGCATCTAATTTTAGAATGCACCAGGACTAATTTGAACTTTGTTCTCCTGGTGAGTGGGTTTAGAATTGGCGCTTTGTGTGGAAAACTCATTCTACACGAAGTTTGTACTGGTTCACAATCGCCATTAAAAAACGAACCAAAATTCCTGTTGACTTGCTGCTCTGACTCGGGTAATGTGAAGTTTTAGTCTGTAAATGTACTTCCTATGTGGTGGTGTACTCCGGAAATGCCGACAGCTTTTGATCAAGAGTCTTTCAACACATGCTAAAATGTCACACTAAAAACCAATAGCATTTCAAATCCTGAACGAACTTGAACTTATAGTATATAAACAGCAGAAATCTTGGCACATCACAGTCATGATCTTAGTATCACGAAACAACCTAAAGCAGAATTGCAAATTGTTCAAATCACCGATCGAAATGGCTGCCGTTCAAAAGCAGACATTGCCTTCGTTTTCTTCCATCATTTCTGTTTTGTCTATTGTGTTTTACTGCGTTGGATTTATAAGAGTGGAATTGGAGATGAACGAGCAGAAGAACAGAATAAACGCTCTTGAAAACGTTGCAGAGGCCAAGCCGAAGTCAAACGACGCAGACATGAAAATCAAGAATGCTCCTGGTAAGTTGGTCTTAATAGAGTACGAGCTGGGAGTTACCATTATGTTTTGGCAACCACAACTTTGTCCTGAAGGAAATTTATAAGCGACTTAATGTTAATAAAAGAAAGGGACGCCGAACAAATATAGCCTGATTGCGTGTTGTCGCACTTCTCATTGCTTCCCATCTGCTGTGGCAAACAAATCCGGAGGTTAGCAGGTCAAGTTCTCTCAAATCAAATGCAGACAATTTCAGGAGAATAGTAATCATTCGCACAAAATTTGCTTTAGTCATTTCAAATACGACCTTGTTGTGTCGGTTGTGACAGATTTCTGCATTAGGATTCATTGCATTACACTCATGTAAGCTTAATTTGTCTCTAACATCAGTTTTCGCAGTCGTCTGAGTAGTATAAATTAAACAGGATTATTTATCAGCTTTGCCAGAAGTTAACAAAAACGCATCCAAGAGGTTTTTGTTTCACTTCTAACGAAGAGCAAGTGGTTCTTTATTTAATAGCTTTTAATGATCAGTTAAGCTTTTCGAAGGAATAGTTTGCTCCCACGCCTTGGTGACTATAAAATGTAGATTTTAATTCATTTACTGAAGTTGTATTTGTTGGTAGAAATTCAAATCCTCCATAGAGACAGACGTCAAGTTTCATCAAGTAAGAACACCACAGAAGCGAAAGACACTGCAGAAACCACCATCAAAATCAACGAGCGTCTTTTATCAGAATGGAGAGCACATCTGTGTCAATCAAAGAGTGTCACGTGCTCATCATGTCCCCCAGGCCCTCCCGGTCCCCCTGGAACAAAAGGAGCCCGGGGACGAAGAGGACAGAAAGGAAGAAATGGAAAAAAAGGAGATCAAGGCATTATCGGACCTGAAGGATTAAAGGGAGAGCCTGGAACCAAAGGCGACAAAGGAGAAATAGGGTCTGCAGGCATGCCGGGAATGAAAGGCGAGCCCGGCGAATCGGTTTCATCTCCTACTGTTGCTGTTTTTCCTGTGACGTTGACAGTGAACGAAGGTGGAACAGCCTCGTTTCAGTGTACAGCCAGCGGTAATCCTGCGCCTGCACTAGCGTGGAGTAAACTGAAAAGTCAGTCAGAAGTCAGTCAATCAGCGGTTTCAGGAGGAAAGTTGCAGTTAAAGCACGTAACCGGAAGTGAGGCAGGCTTGTATCAGTGTTCAGCTACAAACATCCTCGGGAATTCACAGAAAGTGGTGCGATTGACAGTAAATGGTAAGCTTCTGGTGATGATAATGTCACAAAATGAATTATTTTCTGTCAAAGGGAGTGCCATGCCTTCCACATGAGAGTGGTTGACATTTCGTTTTTAAAAAAGTTCAGTTGGTGTTTAAGTCAAAAAATGAGGCTAAATGTTTTTCATTTGACTGCAGTGCATCCTCGTGTTACTCTACATCCCGGACCTTATCACGTCATTGAAGGAAGTAACGTCACTTTACCCACCTGTCACGTGGCCGGTTACCCGGCTCCTGTGGTCACCTGGAGGAAGTTATCTGGTCAGTTGCCCCAGGGCAGGGTGCAGTATAACAACACCGCTTTACAAATCTCAGATGCCCGTAAAGTTGATTCTGACGCCTACTTCTGCTCAGCAGTCAACTTTTTAGGAAATGTTGAAAGGAAAACTCTACTAGTTGTGGTTTCCCCTCCTGTGTTCACCGTTAAACCGCCTGGAAAGGTCTCTGCTGCAAATGGCACCACTGTAACTTTGAACTGCAGCGCCATCGGTGATCCACGACCAGTAATTAGCTGGAAAAGACAGGGAGCAGCACTTCCCGTGGGGAGGAGTCACAGGGCAAACGATGCCCTTGTCTTGAGAGATTTAAAAAAAGAGGATTCAGGGAACTACATTTGTGTGGCTACAAGCGCAGGAGTGTTTGATATCGAGGCCATATATTATGTTGAAGTTCTTCTAGCAAGAGGTAAAGGTAAGTTATAAATTTTTTGGTTCTCTTTGTCACATTGCGCTAAGTCTTCTCGTCTGCCCGGTGGTTTTGAAGGACCGATTTGATTTGTCGTCTTTTGAAAGTTGCGTATTAATGGATGTCAGGAGGTCGGACTCGAAATACGAAGATATCTAATTGAAATCCCCAGATCAAACCACTGGCAGAGACAACATCTCCAGCATGATGATGTAAGCAGGCAAACGGTCGGCCTTCAACTAGATGAGATTGTTAAGAATGGCTGACTGTTAGGATCGAGAAACGCCGGTCAACGTCCTATTTGACAAATCGCTCATATTTTGCCCAAAGATACCCTTAGGTGACCTAATTCGAAAAATCATATTTAAAGGTTCCAGCGAATTTTTATTTTTCAGAAATTCGCGAAAATTTGAAAGCGCGGTCAAAGTGCGGTTTTTCGTGGAATAAAATGACGGAAATAAGGTGCGAGGACGAAGCGCTGCTAAAGTCTTAAAATAAACT